TGGTTACAGCTGTTGGTTTTCAAGGCTCCTGCAGAGCTGGGAGTGGTCCTATTGGAAAAGGACGCATTAAAACATCACAGAGCTCACTGCTTGTACCAAGATTCAGCCAAGTTTTTAAAAATAAATGCTCCTTAGATCTCTGCAAACCTTTTGTTAATTTTTAGACTTTTGAAAATGTTGATTCTGACAATTTCTGCCAGTTTCTTGTTGCTTTTGTAGAGAAAATATTTGGAGGTTCTTACTCATCACTTTCACTGATGTCACTCTTACATTTTTCTTTACACGATACCTAGATACATATTTAAATGTTAGCTGAATTCATAAAGAGTCACTAAAAGCAGAGTGGTTCTTTTTTCCCAGAAACTTTTCTGACCTTTTTGTACTTCTCCTGTTTTATTTTAGGACTATGATGATGGATATGGCACTGCTTATGATGAACAGAGTTACGATTCCTATGATAACAGCTATAGCGCCCCTGCCCAAAGGTAAGAGTTGATCTCTGATTAGACCCCAGTAACAGACACCTTTGCCTGTCCACATATATACACTCTGGGAAACGGGGATGATCAGACAGTGAGGGTACTGTGACTTGGCTTGCTCTGTTTCTTGTTTGTTTTAGTTGGAGACGCACGCTCTGTCCTACTAACTAGCATGTATTGCTCCTCCCATTTTTATCGTAGTGTTAAAGCAATGAGGCTTGAAAAATAAAAATTGAATTTTTTTTTTACTCTAAAAATTTAACTCAGTGTTCAGTACATTCTGAGGAGGAACAGTGTCTACAAAGTCTGTGGTTATGCAAGTCTTAAGGCTTAGAATCACATCAGCAATGTGTGAATATCCTACATTGTCAGTGCCTGAGGTGGAAAGCCCCCAGGAGTTTTGTTTGGCATTCAGATAACGTTTCTGTTTCTTAGCAGCAGTGATCCTTTTTTCTAACAACTTCAAATTCCTATTTGTGAATAATGAGGTAGCTCTAATTTATTTTCTAAAGAGGTATTTACCCAGAAATAAGTAAGTGCTATCAGAGGCAAAACAGAGCTTTATAGTTTCCTCTTGTGATAATATACCTTGCTGTTCATTGATATATGAAATCAGTGTTTATTCCTGTTCAGAATGTTTTCTTAAATGCCTAGAAACCTCTTGCTTTATGTTTAAAATTCTAAGTGGAGGACAAGGATAGACATGTATACAAAACAACATTTTGCTTTACAAAGCATACAGAAATCAGGACCGGGTGGTGGTTTTGATGAACTCATACAGTGCCGGGCAGCTTTGAACAAGTAGCTGCTGTTACTCCTGAGCTCTGGTACTGAGGTTGACACGGATATAAAGTTCTTCTTCTTCTTCTTTTTGGCTCATGTCAGATTTTTTTCTCATATAACTTGTAACAGTTAAGAACCTTCAAACTTGGACTCTGACTGGTCTTTCTGAGTGGGAGCCTGGTGTACTCCTGTCCTTGAGAGTGTTGGCACAGCCTAGGGGACTAGCACTGGTGGGTGCTAGCCAAGACTTTACGTACAGTAGTATCTCGTGTAAGGGTCCCAGCAGCTGCATCAAGTGTGTGGAACCATTCCCACTGTAGGGACGAAGGACTGAGTAATATGCCCGAACTCCCAGGTGGCTTGGAGCGTAAATGGTGACTGGAGCTGCACTTGATCTGTAGAGCTGGGAGGTGAGCTGCACGGGAGGGAGATGAGGTGGGAGGCCGCACACTCCCTGCGGGGTGCTGAGGCTTGGTGCTGCTGGCAGCACGCAGTAGGGATCCCCGAAGAGTTACACGCCAGGGATGGTGTGTTTCGACTTGGAGTCAGAGTGTCATTCCAAGGCAGTGGAGGGGCTTGACTGACAGGTGGTGAGCCTAGAGGCAGAGACCAGTTAGGAGGCCGGTACATTATAAGGCCTTTAAATGTCAGGGAAGACTCACTTAAAGAGACATCTTGCCTGACAGCCAGTCTGCTTCTTTGAAGTGATCTTTTCAGTGTTGCAACTCATCACACCTGAAGGAGGACAGAGAATTGTATAAGAATTGCCCACGTTGACAAGTGTAGAAGCCACTCTTTGTTAGGTATTCTGAGTATTCATTTAATCCTCATGACCTGTGACATAAACATCAGTCCTTTTACAGAAGAAGGGAACTCTGATTTCCAGGAATGAGGGAACTTGCCTGGGATCACGCAGCTTACAAGGAGAGGAGCAGGCTTTGCACCAGGGTCCGTGGCCTCACGCGTCCTCCCCGCAGCATCTCAGGCACGACGGAGGGGCTGCTCGACTGTAAACCCAAGGGAAGCAGCTGTACCATGGGGTAGGATAGAGATGGTTTTATGCACTGTATGAGTTTGCTAGAGTCACTGTAACAAATAACCACAGTCCAGGTGGCTTAAGCAACAAAACTTTATTTCCTCACAGTTAAGAGAAGCCAGAAGTCCAAGGTCCAGGTGTTGGGGGATTTGGTGTTTTCCGAGGCTTCTTCCCTGGGCACACACCTCCTCGCTGTGGCCTCGCATGGTCTTCCTCCTGTGCACGTGCATCCCTGATGTGTACGTGTGTGTCCACGTTTCTCCTCTTCTGATGGTACCCGTCACATTGGATTAGGACCTCTTTGAGGGCCCTGTCTCCAACTACAGTGCCATTCGGAGGTACTGGGATGGGGGCTTCAACATATGCTTCAAGCAGGGGCACGATCCAGCCCGTAACAGGCACATATCATAACACTGGTTTAAGCACAACACTCTGTGTCTCAGAATTAGAATAGCAAACTTGCAAATCCTCCCCAGGATCAGATAGTGAGTATTAACAAGGAAATCACCACCACCACCGTCTTCAGCTTCTTGTTCGTTTACCCTGTGCCTGGTCCTCTCTGTCCTCTCTCCCCTCTCAGCACACCCTAAATATTGCAGAATTCAAGTCTAAACATGCCATCCCCTTACATACAGGTTCAGAGAGATGAAGTGGCTCATCTACACTCAACAGGCTGAGTGGTGATCCAGACCCAGCTTGGCCCCATGGCATCCTCTTTGTCCTTTGTCCCATTGCCTCTCCATTCTCCTCTCGTCATGGCTTTGATTTCAGTGGCTGGAATGAATTCCTGTTAGTATTGCCCATATACAGTATTCAATAATCTAATACTTTGTGATGCTTTAGAATCCCATAGGAATTAGGCCTCCATCTGAACTCGAGGTGTTGCCTTATCAGACTTGGGCTACCTTAATCAAACCTAAAATTTCATTTATGCTGTGTATTAATGTTGTAGGCTGGGACTAATGAAATTAAGAGTCTTATTTTTCCAGTTTTACATTAGATCCTTTCAGCAAAAAGCATTCACTGCCACTACTCTCAAGGAGCATACAGCCTTAATATTCACTAATAGATAATAAATACCATGTAACACTCAATGATCTGTAGTCTACAATTCCTTGATTTTGACACTTCACGTACTGTAAACATAATTTCGTACTTCAATAATTTTCTCAATCAGAGTTTGAAAGCCCATTCTGTGCCATAGTTGTAAGGTTCAGTATAACTGCAGAATTCTTTACCTGGTCTGCTTTGAGATGACAGAGCTATTCTGAAAATGTCCTTTGACACATCATGGTGAGTCACCTGCTCTGTCCAGCATGGTAGCCACTAACTAGCTCATGTGGCTGTTGGACCTTGAAATGTGGCCAGTGCAGATTGGGATGCGCTGGAAGCATAGGACACACACCAGAGTCCTAAACGTAGCATGAAATAAAGAATACAAAATAGGGGCGCCTGGGTGGCTCAGTGGTTGAGCGCCTGCCTTCGGCTCAGGTCATGATCCCGGGGTCCTGGGATCAAGTTCCACATCGGGCTCCCTGCTCAGCAGGAAGCCTGCTTCTCCCTCTCCCACTCCCCCTGCTTGTGTTCGCTCTCTCGCTGTGTCTCTCTCTGCCAAATAAATAAATAAATAAATAAATAAATAAATCTAAAAAAAAAGAATACAAAATAAATACATTATTAAAATTAATTTTACCCATTTCTTTTTCTTTTCTTCTTTTTTTTAATGTGACTACTAGAGAAATTCAAATTACAAATTTCTCTTGGATAACGAAGAGTTAAAGACTCTGGTTCATGGGCGTCTGGGTGGCTCAGTTGGTTAAGCAACTGCCTTCGGCTCAGGTCATGATCCTGGAGTCCCTGGATCGAGTCCCGCATCGGGCTCCCTGCTCGGCGGGGAGTCTGCTTCTCCCTCTGACCCTTCCCCCTCTCATGTGCTCTCTCTCATTCTCTCTCTCTCAAATAAATAAAATCTTTAAAAAAAAAAAAAAAAAGACTCTGGTTCACTCTCTCTCTGGCACAACAGGCACGTTGTAGTGTCTCCAGATTGGGGCCCACACGTTGGGGGAAGCAAGTCAACTCACCAGGTGCAGAAAGAAAATGAGAGAGGGTCAACTCCTGTCCATCCTTTTAAAATTTCTATTTTGATGTTTTGTGTTATGTGTAAATCTAACTTACTAATGCTCTAATGCACATGTTACCCAAAAACAATTACAATTACAAGATCAAAAGTGGTTTTCTTTCTGATACAGATGTGTTGTAAAAACCTTTTGTTGGAGATCTGGGCCATAGTGGTTAAGAGTCTGGCTGACCTGTATTTAGACCCCACTTCAGTATTTGCTGGTTATATGGCTTTGGGCAAGTTACTTGACCTCTCTAAGCCTCAGTTTGTAATGTGTATAGCTCTGTTTCTTCTGTAGATGGTCAGCCTGAAAGTTGAATGAGGCAGGAAATCCCACGGTCTGTGGGAATTGTTGGGGGGTAGGGAGAAGGCATGTCATCCACAGTGTCTTTTCTGTGAGAGAGTGAATGAGGTAATCTGTGTAAGGCAGTTAAGGCAGGGTGTAAGGCAGTTAGCACATTGTGCTGAGTAAATTCTAGTTCCTGCCCTCCTTCCCCAGTTCTGAATTATTCTGCATCTCATTTCACATAGGGAAGCTAAGAGAAAATCCAGAAGGGTTGTGTGAATAAATGCTTTACAGGGAAAATGAGAAGAGGGAGGGGACCTTGTGGAGGCCGCTCCCCCCTGGGATGGTCAGTATCAGTATTTAACATAAACTGGGATTAGCAAACTGAGCAGCTGTAACCCACTTGAAAACAAAACAGAGCAGGACAGCAGGCTCACGTGGCTGGTCATTGGGTATTGTTACCCGCTGTGCAAAAGGGTCCCTTTTGGTAATGACGTTTAAACTTTATAAGCGGTAATCATTTTATGATACTGTTTTGTTGCAGAAACAGCAGTTTCTCTCAGGAGGTTTTACAAATTAGGAATTTTTTCTCCCGATTTTCAAATACCTTGTATTAAAATTAGAGTACAAATGAGAATCCCTGCAGAGTGATAGAAAATTCAGTATAGTTCAGCTACATTTCCCCATTGATTTTTGTAATGACCTTGATAGTGCTAATACTGTAGTGTAAAACAAAAGCATTGTTTCTCTAACTTCACACATTTAATGAGTAACAAGCTGTC